AAAATGTATTTCCTTAAGCAGTTAGAATGCTACTCAAGTGCTAATGAAATGACATTAACTTTTACATTGGTTTCAAGCTGACTCAAGCAGCTGAATTGAGAGCTACGTGCCAGATGATGGAAGTGTAGCTTTGCCAGGTTTTAGGGCCTGGCCAACTTGGACAAAGCAGTTGGAAGACCACCTGAAATCGGTGATTTCTCAGCACTCGTTTGAGCTGCAGCTGTGATAAAATCTTAAGGGTAAATGAGTGTGGGTACAAGGTGAGGTCACACGAAGTACCCCATTAGTTAGGTCTTGTGCTAGCCACTGGGGTATAGATGCACTGCAAGTCTGGATCGTTACCAGCAGTCTGGTAAAGCCCTGGGAAAGGTGGGCTGGTAGCTACCTGAAGACAGCAATGAAGCTGGGAGGAAATGCAGATGACTGAGTTTGCACTTGGAACACAACAGACTCATATAGGGCTGCTCCTTTGAATCGGGCTTCTGAATAGCCAAACCAAGCTGGAAATGGTCCGCAGGTGGCTTCTGCTGCTCATCCTTTTTGGGTAGATGCACTGAGCTCCAAATGTGCCCACTGCTCCTCTTCCTTGTTCTGTGGCCAAGTCCTGGCACTGGCTGTTGGTGCATCTTGGGAGTGGCAGGAAGCTGAGGAGCTTGGTGACGGGATTCTTGCTGCAGCTGTTACTGAGCGTTATCCTTTGCTCCTTGCAGCTGGGCTGTGCCAGAAGCATGTCCTCCACCTCCTGCCGGGCATGAGCAGTGACAGTGACATTGAATGTGACACTGAAAATGAAGAGCCGGAGGATGCTGCGTCGGCCTCAGATGGGTTTAACCATGCCTTTGCCGTCCAGTCCTCGAGCGAAGGTAGAACCCACGGTGACAACATGCAGTCAGAGGGCAGATGTCCAAGGGCCAGCCCTAACCTGGCTTGTGTTTTATGTGGGTAAACGTCATCTCCCAGGCCAAGAGACTGGCAGTGCTGTGCAGGTGTTAGACCGCAAGGAGCATTTGGCAACATTACTGGCTTGAGCTTGAGGTCTTGTTTAGCCTGCCTTTTATTACAAGACGGGGACAGAATTTTACCTCGTTCTGGGCTGAAATGACACTTGAGTCCTTTCGCACTGCACTTCATCTAAGCAAGGGGGGATAGGTCATTTTGTTCATGGCAGCCTAGCAGACATCATTCATCTAACTTCTGCAAGGCAGAACCTCATGCCCAGCTTGGAAGGCCACAGAGCAGTTACAGTGTCATTCACCTCTGGGTGGTTAGCATGTCCTGAGAACAGGCCTCAGTGTCCCTGCAGAGCTGCAGTGTTGAATGGCGAGTTTGGGAAGTGTTTGGGGGCTCTGTGGTGTCAGATTCGCACCCCCCACCCCGGCTTTCCAAAGCAGTGGCTTTCCAGGTTATCTCCTCCACAAACCTAGCTGGCTTTTGAGCAGAACAGTGGACTTGGGTGCAGCTGTCTGCCTCATTTCCACTAGAGGAAATGGGCAATAAGTCATGAGAACTGAAATAAGATACCTGGTAATGAGGGTGCCTCCTAAATGACACTAATCTGCTTAGGAGCACTTCAGCTTGGTTTTAAAAGGAGTAAAAGTCTCTGCCACTCTTGTTCTGTGAAAACATTAGAAACTTCTCATGGGGCTACTTGGAAGTTGTTCAGCTGATTGCTGAGTCTGAGGAGGTTGGGTAGTGGTCTGGCATCAGTGTCAAACCTGGGATTCCTTTCTTGGAACTAGCTCAGTGGCTGATTCTCAATTAGGCTGCAGAACTCCACAGCAAACATTGAATCCGGAAGTGACAGAGGAGTCCAAACACTGTCGCTGGAGAGCAGCCCTGTGCAGAGCAAGGGTTTTATCTGCTGTTAAGAATGAAATCTCAGTCTCCTCAAAACTTGCAGATCATGGAACTAAATACTTCAGTTAAATTAGACTAGTTTGGGGTGCCAGGCTAAAGGATCATCTGTAACTGTCTTTCAGTCCTAGAGCTGGGTTCCATGTTTCCTGAAGGTGATCAGACGGGTCCTGAAGATCTCGGTTTTGCCGCTGGTGAGGACAATACCAGGTAATTGAACGCTGCTCTGGTGGCGGGTCTGCTTGATCCCAGTCATCTTGAAAAATCAGGGCTGCTTAATATTCTCAGCTCTCTGGCTTGAGCTTCCTGTTCCTAGATCCCCAGATGAGACACAGGGCAGTGTGCGTTCCCATCAGACTGGGAGATTTGTGGAAGGGGAGGATAGAGGGGAACATAGTGCACAGAATAATTAATACCCTGCCACTTGCAGCTATTTCTCAGAGCAGATTTGTTTGTGGGTGGAAGTTGGTGAGATCCTGGCCCGTGTCCGTGATTTTTCTTTTTACGTAGACTTTTAAGACCAGTTTGTACTCTCGTCCCTCCCTCCTTCCCTACCCACGCCTGACTGGTCTTCAGTTATCAGAGGTTTCATATCTGTTCTTTCCGTGGGAGGGTCTAGATTTCAGTGCCTTAAATCCTTCACACCCTTCCTGCCTAGTCCATAAGCCATAATTGCTCTAATACAGGCCTTGTTTAATGAAATAATTGTGTATGATTCTCTTTGGGCCAGGTAGAGGATTGGGTTGGTGACTGCAGAAGACTGTCTTGAAGAGCTGGGTTCACACTAACCTGCTTATGCCCCTGAGAAGAGGTACTCTTGCCACTGGAGCTTACTTATGCCATCAGGATTGTTCATGGTAGAATAAGCTGACTTCATTACATTCTGTAGTTCTTCCTCACCGCCTTGAAACCTCTGCATAGGTCCCCCTGCCCTGTGAAAAGCCTCTTATAGCAAAAAGACTGCGTTCCTCTTGGTTCAAACATATTCTCTGAACAAGTGTTCAAAAGGTGCTGGAGCCCTGCGAGCATGCTTGTCTAGTGACTCTGAGGCGGGTGCAGTGGAGGAGGTGTAGGAATAGCTGTGCCAGTAGAAATGCAGGGGACCCTACAGATATGTTTTAACTTAATGTTAAAGAGGAGCAGCCTCTCCAACCGTTAGTTACCCTCCTCTTCTGTCTCCACCTTGGACCAACTTAGAACATGTTGCCAAACCTTATTTTTTTTTTTTTGCCACTGTGCATTGCGTTTGAGCTGCTAAACAGTTTGTGAAGCTACAACGAAAGCTGAATAACTGGCTGTTGAAAAAGCAAAGGTAACTGTAAATGTTCGTAGAGTGTTCCTGTCTCATCTTGCTGTATGTACTGGAGTTTTTTGTATGTAAGTGCTGTGTGATTCATAGTTTAGTTTGAAACTTTGCACTTTGTTAATAAAATGAACATTAAAATACAGCGTGAAATTGTTTGATGCCCATCTATACACAGGTACAATTGCAGGTGCTTACGCATTTAAAAAAGAAAAAGCAAGACTCTCTTTATCCTCTTGTGCTGCACGCCTGCGTCTGCGAATTATTCAGCTGAAGTTGGGGTTGTTTTTCTCCTCTTTTTGGTTGCATCATTAATAGAATTGAACATTGGCAGCTGAAGTCCCGTGTAGGAGCTAACGGTCCATCTGGGCTTTTCAAACATGCACTGTGTTGGCTGTTCGATGTGGAGTGTTTGAGGTGGAGCTGGGGCAGAACCTACCCACAGTGAAAGCAGTTGCCTGACAGCTGTTCTCAATCCCTCTGGCACTGGACCTCTGCCCTCTTGTTTCTTTTCAGCGTCTATCTTCCTCCACTATCGCAGAACTTTCTTTAAAGAATTAGCCATAGCATGTGCACTCTGATCCCTGTCATAAGCACGGGAACAATGATAATGGTGTGTTGGATGGAGGCAGGAGGGGTATGAACTGATATTGTTGTTCAGTATCCTGAGCTTTCCCATTCTGTTGAACTCAGGCCGGGGGTTTGTGGGGGTGTTTCTGAATTGAGGCTGGTTGAAACCGCGTCCTCCTCAGCCAAGTTGGTTTTAAGTCATGTAAGGGTTAGGGGCATGATAGGTTGGCTGTAGAGGACTCGACTCATTCCAGTGTTATAAGCCCCTACCCTTGCCCCTGCGTTTGTCAAAACTGGGTGACACTTTTGCCTGTAGATTTTCTGCGTGTTTTAGCACAGGTTCTCTTGCTCCCGGGACTCTGCAACGACTGATCTGTTAGTGAACATCAAGGTGCTTTAGGGTTTGACATCCTGCCCTGCCTGATGGTTGAGTCGGGCCTTTGGAGCAGACATCCGACTAACAACAGGTTACTCACGAGGGTTTTTTCCTACAAAGAACTAAAACAATCCAGCCTCAGCTGGGAATCCAGCAGTTTCCTGTCCCCCACGATGGAGGAGTCTAAAGTCAGTGGCTTCCACTTCACAGTGGAACCGTTCAGTCTGTGGTTCAAAGCTTCTAGAAGTTTAATTTCAGAGACTGCGTCTTGGCTAAAGTGCTCAACTCTTGCAAAAAAAGTCTGTGGCCGTACCAAGGGCTGGCACTGGCTGTGACAGTAGCACTGAGTTGAGCCCCCACTGTCCCTCCCAAAGAAAGCTGTGAGCTGGCCTGTTACTCTACAGCTAGCCTGGTTCTAGCTTTGTCTTCCTTACCAAAGTGCAGACCAGCTGGTGTTTCCTGTGCCATTCTGAATGGAGACACGTGTATTCGCCGCACAAGGAAAACCTGTAATTAGTCTCTGTTGCCTTCCATTGAGGGGAGAGGTAAAGTCGGTTCACAGATCCCTTCACCCAGGGTCCCAAGAATAAATCTGTGGTGAAGACTGATGTCAAGCTGCTTTCTAAAATTCCCAAACTGTCTGCTTTCAAGGGAGTTTGAGTACAGGTGCCCGTAGCTTGCATGTGGAAGGCAGTTGAGTGCAGACCCTGTTTCCTGGCCATTTGGACTTGGGCAGGGCCTGAGAGGGCGGTGTTGCTTCCCTTCCTATGGAGTTGGCACTTTGAACACTTACACAAGGGGGAAATGGTGTAGCTATTGCACAAGCCAAACCCTGCAGTAGGAGCTGCAGCCGGAGTGTCACTTACGCAGTCTGTACCCAATTCTGCCTTTACTTACGATGCAGACAGGTCCCTATTTGTGCTTGAATCGCTGATCTCCTCTAGCTGCTTGAATTCCCTCAGCAGCAACCTTCAATAGTCTGCCACATAGGAGCTTAGCACAAGGAATGTGCTTGTTGTTCTGATTTTGTCTTGGAAGAAACAGACCACTGAGCAATGAGTTTTAAATGACTGTTTTATTAAGATACTGGTAAAATTTCAACATAATCCTTGTCTGTATAAACAGCTTGAATTAATAAATAAAATCTGTATGACTAATACATGGTTATAACTGAACTTGCATGTGAGCTGCAGAACACGGTTGCAAATGGAAAGGTCCCAACACTGTTAAACGGTTAGAGCTTAAACTGATCGACTTGGGAAAGAACATATCAGAAGTTTTGTGAACAAGAGGACATGCACATCGACAGGAGGGCCCGGTGTGAGAGCTGACAACACACCTGGCGCTCCAGAACCGGATCTGCCTATATACACGAGTTACTCTTGCGAGTAAAAGTGCTCAGGGTGAACTTCGCCCAGCTTGCCCTATTCTTGTTTTGACTGCGTCTAATTGGACAGTAGAGGAAGCTGTTAACAAAATGAGCAAAATGCAATTACAGTTATTGGACTAACATTGAATAGGTGGGATTTTTTTTTTCCTCTAATGCTTCACCATAATGCTGGCAGCTACAATGCTAGCGCCTTGTTAACAATGACTAGTAAAGGACGGAGCATCCAAGTCAGAGGTTGCATTTATGCTGGACTATTATTGCACATGATGCAAGGGAAGGAAGCTTTCTTCCTGTTGCAAAGAGTTTTGAGCCAAAGAAAGATTGCCCTAAATTATAGGCATGACCAAAGCTGGAGTATCCCCTTGACTGGCTTTGTCTATGAGAATAGTTTCAAATGAAGAAATTGTGCCAAATCAGCCACTAATTTAGATCAATCTTTCTCGTTTCTACAGCCGAACGGTGCCAGGGGAGGGAGTGCTTAGTGGTAGAAGAGTGGACTTGGACTACGGTCCTGTCTGTAAACACTGAACTTGCGCCTCATGCGTATCTGCCCACAGGACAGTGCGTTTCTCACTGATACGCACAGTTCCCAAAACTGAGTGGAGTTTCTATGACAATGTACCACTATAAATGTGGTATAAGTTAAAATCTGCTTCCACATTGTCCTCCAGTGTTACACTGCAGCCTAAAACTAAATACTGAATGATTTTAACTTGCAAGGACAATTGATGGCACTTCTAGGTAAAGAAAAGATATTTACATGCGTTTCCACCCACCTTTAGTGCAAATCAAAATGGGTTAAACAGCTCCCTGGTCTGGTGCTATACTGCTCTCTGCAACAGCAGACGTTCCTCAGAGTTGCACATTTAAAGAAAAAACGTATACACGGGAAACTATTAGAGTGGGGATTGAATGAATCCCATTAAACTCACAGTGACTAGTTTACAGGCGAGTCTGGAACAGCTTCAGACAGACGGCCTGAAGTCCGTTTCTCAAAACCAACACAACTCCCTAAACACTTTTTCACTACCTCCCTCCTATTTTTGCAGGACACGTTTAACACGTAAACTGAAACTGATGCAGATTGTGTTAACTCGAAAAAGGGATACTTCAGCTCTTTATTGGAAAGGTTTGTTATACAAATTTCACCACCACTGAGAGATGCACAATAAAAGTACAAAACACAAGTCACAGACTGAATCTCAGAATTAACAATTAATAAATACAGTTATAGATACTTTCGTAATTTAATATGGGGGGTTTTTTTACATTTGTCACCAGTTAGACAATCAAAAATACAAGGTACAGAACGCTTAGATACCATTAGAGGGGTACTTATTGCTTACGTTAGCAAGCAGCAAATAAGGGCACAGGATTTTGAACTGAAGAGAACTACTTCCTATCACCAGTGGCATTAAGAGAAAACACTGCATTTCACAAAGCACTGCTTTTTTGTCTAGTGTGTAGAATCAAGAGCAGCATATATCAGACCAATAACCACTACTTTTAATATGTATTAGAGAATTTTAAAGGACTTACCTTACAAATGGTTCCTATCTACTCTATAAATATGTATTTAGTGAGGAAATGAACACTTGCTATTTATACAACATTTTGTACCTGACCACACTGGAACTACAAAGGTAATTTTGTTTTCCTAGAGAGAAATGGTATGAGAAGCAGAACTATTGTTATGGATCCACACCTAAAGAGCTGCACCCTTACCAAGACAACTTACACTCAAGTCCAGTGCTATTCCTGCACGTTGGGAAGAAGGTCAATCATCCGTAACCTCTTGAATTCATATTCACTCAAAAAAATGGCACTTGCATCACCTTTCAGTAGAAGTACAGTTATCAAACAGAAGAGAGATTCCACGTGCCATCTATCTTTCTGTGAAAACATGAACAATGAGAAGGCACCAGAGAGATGCCCCAAAATTGCATACTTCACGGTTTTGTGGTTCTCAACTTTCCTTACTAAATCTGGTTTGAAACATAGAATACAGCTAAAGAGTGTTGATGACAACAGCTAAGGCTTCATAAAAGGACAAATGTAACAGCCAATAAATAGTCCCTTAATTATGGTTATGGTTAAAAAAAAAAAGCCTCAAAATGATTTAAAAAAATGTAGAAACCATTTTTCAACTGTTAACACAGCTTTTTGCTGTTTCATCAAATCACTTTAAGGAGCGGCTCAAAGAATAAGTGGAGATTGGTAGAATTCAGGTATTATGGTCTCCAATAATTTAGAGTCCTGTGACTTGAAAATTCAACTATTTTGCAAATTTAATCTAAACCTTAAGTCTGATTTTAAAGTGTTACTGGTAGGAGGGTGTAAGGTATTGGATGTTGCTGAAATGCAGAATGACATCTTATTTCTGCCCAATTATTTTTTCCTGTTGACTGGTACTGTAGCAAAGAATAGTGAAAAAAGGGATATTCCAATGTGCTGTCCAATACAGGTCACTGGAACAGTTTGATTTCAGTTAGGGTTTTTAATTTTTTTTTAATTAATACTCTGCTTATTAGGATAAAGGACAGAAAAGGTCAACCCACCTTCCTTGCCTTTCTACGTGAACTGAAGTTTGCTTGGAGCAGAGTTCTGGATTGTCAGTGCATTTTATGATCTCAGCAAAACAAAGAAATTGCCCTCATCTTT